GAGCACAGGAAACAGGAAAAGTGGAGATTCAACTGCACACATGGTCCCTGCTCTGAAAACAGTCTTTTAAGTATATGAAGATCGAATCATTACTTGTCCTTCATCTGGCCATTACAAATTTGATTTACAGAGGAATAGATTAGATAGATAGATGATTAGATAGATAGATGATAGGTGATGGATAGATAGATGACAGATACAGAGATACAGTGATATAGAGATATATGTATATATGTTTTTTTCTCCAGTCATGTTCCAATTTTGGAATCATGTTCTATAGTCCTGGAATCACTAGATTACTCAATACCTATATTTCTAGTATTTTTAATACTAAACTACCTACCCCTTCTTCCCAAAGACAGCTTTACTTCACTAAAGCTGCAGGTTGGAATTCACGTTTTTTTCACAACATTATATAACGGTTGATGTTGCTTTCCAAGACAGAGGTCATGCCTTCAAGGTAGGGCCTTGAATCTGTATACAAAGATGAAGTCACATCAGAACACCAAGTGTCAGGCGTGTGGATTCTCTGAGTGTATTTTCTTGTTTCTTTGTCAATACCAACAAACTTTGCTCATCTCTAATTGCCATTTGTGTTAGTTTCCTGTGGCTGCTCAAACAAATTACCACAAACTTGGGGGCTTAAAACACCAGAAATTTATTCTCTCATAGTTGTGGAGATCAGGAGTCTGAAAACAGTATCACTGGGCTATAGGGGAGAATCCATTCCCTGCCTCTGCCAGCTTCTGGTGGCTCCTGCATTCTTTGGCTTGCTGGCTATATCACTCCAATCTCTGCTTCTGTAGTCACACCACCTTCCCCTCCTCTGTGTGTAATCTTCTACCTCCCTCTTATAAGGATGCTTGCGATTGCATTTACGGCTCACCTGGTTATCAAGATAATCTCCTCATCTCAAGATCCTTGACTTAATCACATCTGCAAAAACACTTTTTCCAGATGAGGTTAATTTCTGGGAATTTGGGACTGATATCTTTGGGGAACATTACTCAGCCTACTACACTTGTCAAATTCTGTTAGTTTTGCTTCCTTGTCTCCCCCTCATAATATTTAGAGACACACTTGATGACGCCCAGTTTCTGAATTCTACTTACCTTTTCTTTTCATTTTTACCTTTATTGTATTTAGCTTTATTGACCTTATATTTCTTGATATTTGGTTTCATTTTTCTAAAGTAAGGGCTAATGTTTCTAAATCAACCCACTAGACGCTCACAAACTATAATAATATAACAGGATGAAGTCACTGTGATCTGCTTCCTTAACTTCATAAATAGAAACAACTTGCTATTTAACGTATATATTTACTAATATAACCATGGAGAATGGTTGAAGTATACAAATTACTGATAAACTTCTTACTCTAACAAAATCACTATTTTTTCTAAGCATTACCTTTTATTCTTCTGCATATTTTTAAGGGTTGCAATAGAACAGACATAAAATTTTGTATCAGGATTTTTTACTTAATGTAAGTAGTTTTCATATTATTGCATGATCACTGATAAACCAGAGTTCATGCTATTCTATCAAGCATTGCTATGTAGTTAGTTGCCGTTGAGTTGGCTCTGACTCATGGCAACCCCATGTACAATAGAACAAAATGCTACCCAGTCTTGTGCCATCTTCATGATTGCCAGCACACTTATTATGTTCATTGTTGCCTTGCAGCCTAGGGGGCTCATCTTCCAGCACTGTATTGGCTAAGTTTTGGAAATAGATAACCAGGCCTTTCTTCCCACTTTGTCTTAGTCTGGAAGCTCTGCCGAAACTTGTCCACCATGGGTGGTCCTGCTGGTATTTGAAATACTGGTGGCATAGCTTACAGCATCATAGCAAAATGTAAGCCACCTTATTATAAATAAGATTAAGGGCAGCAACATTCTGGTGTTTTAGTGTCAAACAAAATTTTAGAATACGTATCTGCCAGAAAACCAATTGTGAAGTCATTAGAGTTGGGCCGCTCCTCATAGTCCATTGTAACCTGAGCTGAGCTTTGGTGGGCACAGCAGTGCACTGAGGACCCCCAGCTAATGGCTCCCCTCCGGTAAATGACTGCCCTTAGCTGCTTGTCTTTTTCATTCACCCTGTAAATGGCTTCTTACATTGGGCCCTGGGTACTGGAATAGAATATGCAACACCTCTCCATTTAGAGTTTACACAGTAGAAGAGACATCGTGGAACACCTGGCATATCTTCATTATGCTTTCCAAATCCCTAAGAAAACTAAAGTATTAAATGAGAAAAAAAAACGTATATTATTTTCCCTTAACAAATGTTAGCATAAGGGAAGACTATATGAGGAATTACAAACAAGCCTAATTTTCCACATTATCTAATTCCATTCTTGGCAGGAGGTCAAGCATCTTTTACTCTTTCAGACCACTAGACAATTTTCATTACCCAGCTACAGAATACCCTATAGGTTGTGTTTGGGATACATTAGGTTTTCTCTTACAAGTCTAGAAAAAAGTAGTTTTGCTTCCCTGGCATGTCTTTTTGGGAGGGAACTGGGAATGGAACAGACTGACTTCCTAAAAAGCACTGTTGGCAATGTTACCCAGGAAAAAAAAGTATGTATAAACACTGCATTTATCTGAATGCACTTTTTTGAAGAAAGAGAGAGAGAGAGGAAGAGAGAGAAGGAAGGAGAGTAGTTTTCTGAAAAATAGTAAAAGACTGGACTTTCAAGTGCGAAACAGAATCTTGCATGCCTTTCTGTACAAGGCTGACAATGTCAATATTCCTTGGGCACGTAAGTCCTCAGTGGGTAGTTTCAAGATGGGTGCTTCCCTTGTGTCTGTTGGCAGGGTGTCTGTGGGGACTGTCAGATACATCTGAGAGTTAATGTCCTGGCCAATATGTGTTCTTTCCACTATTTTTTTTTCTAACATCTGTGAAGGGTCTATTTCTCTTTGACATGTAGTAGAAGCCCAATAAATATTTGTCAGATTTAATTGAGTTTTAAAGATTGTTGACCCTGCTGGTTTTTGAAAACTGCAGGTGAGAGGGAGGGTGATTTTCCTTCGGTAGCTGTATACTCAGACAAGAATTAGAACTGGAATGAACCTTAACAGAAATCTAGTCCAAATGTCTCATTTTACAGGGGGGAAAAAATGAAGTCAAGTGTTATGAGGTTGCCTTGGAAAAAATCTCCTCTCTGGCTGGAGAAAACAAAGCTGTTTATTAAGGAAGCAAAAACCAAGCTGAAAGTAGACAAAGATTTCTCAATCTATATATGCAGACTACTGCCTCAGTGGAGAACTTTCTTACTCTTCCTCAATACTTTGGGGAAAGGCTTCTTGAAATAGCCTCTATTATGTGCCGTCTTGGCTTGAGAATAGGTTAAGTAATACACGAAACACAAATTTAAAAAAGAAATAATAATGGGGCACAAACATAGTTTTCAAAATAATTTGGAAACTTTGATTTATGTGATAATTACCGGAGGCTACTAGTGACTGGAAACCCTGGTGGCATAGTGGTTAAGTGCTACGGCTGCTAACCAAAAGGTCAGTAGTTCAAATCGAACAGCTGCTCCTTGGAAACTCTATGGGCCAGTTCTTATCTGTCCTATAGGGTTGCTATGAGTCAGAATCGACTTGATGACAGTGGGTTTGGTGTTTTTTTCTTTTGACTAATGACTACTTATATTGTTAATTTAAAATTATTTAAGAATTAATTGGGCAGTTTTTGGGATTATATAACCCTTTGTCTTTTCTTTCTTCTTCCTTCTGCTACTTACATTAACAAAAATTTTTTTTATCATTTTTATCACTTTATTATATTCTTTTAGAAAAGAATTTGCAAAGGAAGTGAGAGCTGATGAAAGGATTTTGGTACCTAAATGCATTTGATAAAAGACTTGTAGAGGAAAACAGCAATAGGCAAAAATGAACTTTAGGCTTATTTGCAAATTTCAGTTTGGGCTCTTCTTCTACGGCTTTGAACCGGTTCCTCCCAGTTCAATCATGGCTGAGGAAGTGACACTGGAACAGAACTAAAAATTATGGGTCAAAGCCCTGCCAGAAACTTAATCTCCCTCTTAGGAAACAATGGCAGTGTACCTGCGGTATAGCAACCAAATCTCTTGCTGGTGGGATTTTGCACAGAGTCGAAAACAGCAGTGCCCCGCTCAAAGATGGCAGCTGACCACACCAATCTGAATGCGTGTTGCTCAACTCTGTCCTGGCGATAATCCAATCTCATGCCTCAGGCTCCTGAAAGGGCTCACTACACCTCTTCCTAATTTTTCATTCCAGGGCTTTGACCAGTAATTTTTCCCATTCTGGTTATGGTTCTGGATTACCCAAATTTTAAAAATTTGGGTCTGTTCCAGTTTTGCTTCGTTGGCCATGAATGAACCAGCTTGAACCAGTTTGAAGCCCTGCTCTTATGACAATAACACGGAAAACCACAAGATGACTATTTGTTTCACAAATGACGGACATATATTTCAAAAGTTCTTAATGTCCAGCATCATTCAGTAAAGAGAGACCGACCCTTTTATTCTTAACTCTTGATTAAACTGATGACAATGGATTTCTCTGGCTTTAGAAACAAGGTTAAAGAGAATAGAAAAAGGATAGCAAGAATACAATGTAATCCTTTGTGGGCTCGACCCCACATATATGAATGCATATGCAGTCACACAAATTATATTTGTACATATCATGGGAATATAACTCCAAATAACAGTAAAATATCATTACTATCCCAGAGTTGCTAAGATCTAGAAACAATAGAGTTTTCTTCTGTTGTTAGGAACTGTGTTTTGGCAGTTTTTCTCCTTTGAAGTCTTTCAATCAAAGGAACTGCAAGCAGTCAGTGAAGGCGTCATTGATGAAAATGGTGCTTTTATTTGGTTCTCCAAGTACTGCACCCACAGGCATCTGCAGAAGTAATTCAAACCTCTCTGGACCCTCCAGGACGGGCTGTGCTACATCATCAAGGATTGTCACTTGGAATATTTGCATGTGCACCCCAGGAGCAAAGTCCAGATTTTGGTTGATGCCAACGTAATCTATTCCAGCTGGTTGGAAAGGAAAAGGAAAGAGTGAGACAGGAGAACTCATTGTCATAAGTTTACCTTCAGAGAAAAATGAGAGTTGTCATCAACTCTGCAGCATTCCTCCATATATATACACAGCAGCACCCTCAGAAGTGGGTTCAATCCCAGAAAAGAAAAATGTCCGTATTCTATCAAAAGTCAGGATAGTCACTCATATCATACCCACGGCCAGCATCATCAGTGCTCTCCATGTCTAGACAAAGGACACATATTACCTTACAAGCATTCCACAAAAGTCTCACTGTTTAAGCTGAAGACAACTTCCATTTGAAACAAAAAGATTTGCCTTTGTTATTTTTACCCTTTAAGAGATCTATTGTGCATTTCATTTGATTAGATTTAACTCATTCACCTTTGGTTGACATACGGTTTAATCTCGCAAAATTCTGCTCTATTTTTCTCAGCCTCTGAAGTTTCTGCCCTTCCCCAGGTTGTTATTAATCATTTTGCAAGTGGGCCCACCTGACCGTGTAACTTCTTTGCTACTCATTTAAAAAGCCATCAAATGACAATTTGAGCATCAAAATAAGCAATGAGAGCAGTGTATTATAACCAAATGAATATAACAGAAACCATGATTCCATACTGATATAAATAAATACACAAATAAATTGAGGAACAGGATAATTACATGGTCCCGAGAAATCTCCCTACAGAATACTTATTAGCTACAAAGGGGAAAAAGACTAACTTTAAGTGGGGAAACATGGTAAATATCACCTTAACCAAGTGATCAAAGTTAACACCACCAGTAAGGGGACAAATTTAAGTTTTTTTGTGGCACTTGATAGAATGTAATGAGAACACAATATCATTTCTGTGATTTTCTTGCTAAAGATGTATAACTTGAATCTAATTATGAGGAAACATCAGACAAATACAATTTGAGGGACATCCTACATGCTACAAAAGCCGGCTTATAATCTTCGAAAGCACTAAGATCATGAAAATCAAGGAAAGATCAAGGAACTGTTCCAGACTGAAGGAAACTGAACAGACAGGACAACAAAATGTAAAGCGTGATCCTCAACTGTATCCTTTTGCTATAAAAAAGAATTTGGGGACAACTGGTGAGAATTGAATGAGATCTGAGGATTATATTGTGCTTATGTGTCAAGTTAATATACTGATTTTATGCTTGTATTGTGGTGAGATAGTAGAATTTAGAAATTATACCCTAAGTTTTTGGAGAGATACCACATCATGACAGCTATACAAAAGTTCAGGGAAAAAAAAAAGTGTTTTACTATACACTGTACTTGTCACTTTTTAAGTTTGAGACTGTTTCAAAATTAAAAAAAAGTCATCAAATAATTACACTGAATAAAAATAAAACAAGATCATGGCAGCTGGGTGAGTAGTGAGAAGTGTGCAGGTTTTGGATCCTGTGAGCTCTGGTCCACATCTTGACTCCATTACTTACTTGTACAAATTGTTTCACCTCTTTGAGTCTTAGTTTCCCCAATTGTGAAATGAGGATAATTACAGCTACCTCACAAGGTGGTTGTGAAGATTTTAGATGATAAGGCAAAGATGCTATCACAGTGTCTTGAAGTAGTACACATTTAATACATGAAGTCATAATTATCATATATATCCAAAACCCGTGCCCATCGAGTTGATTCTGACTCACAGTGACCCTCTAGGACAGAGTGGAACTGCCCCGTAGAGTTTCCATGGAGCGGCTGGTGGATTCAAACTGCCTACTTTTTGGTTAGCAGTTGAACTCTTAACCACTGCATCATCAGGGCCCCATCATATATATACTTTATAATCAAAATTATACATTATAAACATTTACATGTAATTATTCATGTTAAATTATTATTGTTAATTAACCAACCTGAGCAGATGTCAAATATTTACTAGGCTCTATTGATGGTCTGGAAACCCAGGGGACATAGTGGTTATGAGCTACGGCTGCTAACAAAAAAGTCAGCAGTTTGAATCCACCAGGTGCTCCTTGGAAACTCTATGGGACAGTTGTACTCTGTCCTAGAGGGTCGCTATGAGTCAGAATCAACTCAGTGGCAACAGGTTTGGTTTTTGATTTTTTATTAAAGATCAAGTCTAAACAGTTGTCTCTACATTTCTCATATTTTAACCTATCAATCACCACCCCAAACATGGATGTTAGCTACTTCAATTATTCATTAGTCTAACCCTATTTGAGAGCTAGCAGAAAGGTCTTTACTTTTACATGATTCAAAAGCAAAGGAGTTTATCTAAATAAATTTGGGTTACATTTAGAATCAACTCAACGGTAACAGGTTTTTGGTTCTTCCTAACCACAGAGCCCTAGAGGAGCAGTGGTTAAAGAGTTTGGCTGCTAACCAAAAGGATGGCAGATTGAGTCCACCAACCGCTCCCTGGAAACTCTGTGGGGAAGTTCTACTCTGTCCTATTGGGTCATTATGAGTCGGAATTGAGTCAACAGCAACAGGCTTGGTTTATGATTTTTCTCCTTAACCACAAGCAAAAAAGTCCAAGGGGTAAATTGGTCTAGTTCACTTTTGGTTCAATAGATACATATAGAGTGAGAAATGGCCCCGCCTCTCAGGAAATTAAAACAAAACAAACAAAAACAAACCTAAACCAAAAAAAAAAAAAGAGTAAGAATCTTCACTAGTTTCATGAATCGACTGCATCACAATGGTTTAGGTTTTTTTTTTTTTTTTGGTATCCTGTGGTATATTCACTAAAGCGTTATAACATAGTTCTTCGCGTGCAAGCACTGAACAGTAAAGTTAGCTGGCTGTCTTTACTTTCCTTAACAGTTTCTGAGTAAATGTTGGAATAAGGTTCCCGTTTCAGAGATAAATGCATGTTGCACTCTCTTTCTGCCTGTTCCGTGAGAATAGGTGTTTAGATTGCTGGGTTTTACTTGTAGGAGTTGTGCTTTTATCTTAAAACATTCTCACGTGTTTTGGATACACACGGTGCTCGTTCTGAACTACGCTGGCTGTCCATTTCCCAGAAAACCAAAAGGCTCCAGGTGGTGAGTAGGATAATATGGGTACAAGGTAGATGACAATGTCGCTGTCTTTTCCTGTTGGGCCCTACTCTCTTTTTCTGGTAAAGGAGCTGACAGCCTCAGGAGAGGAAATGGTATCCAGAAATGTCTAGCCCCACTGCTGGCTAGGCCGTGATCAGCCATATCAGGAAAGGCAAAGATGAGTGCGATGCTGCTTGAAGCCAAGGAAAATGCCCAGGAGTCAGAAGTGAAAACCTCCTACACTTCGAAGGTCTAATAGGTGATGGAGTCTAATAGGCTGCCATTATACAGGTACCCTGGTCTGAAATAAGGTTTCTAAGCAATTTACACTATCTACATGTATTCTGAACTATGAAAAATTAATTTGGACTCACAAGAAGCAAATGAGTAAAGAATAAATAATAAAGGCAGCTGTTAGAATATTTGGTTTATTTCATAATCAGAAGTCATTACATGTACTAGATCTTGTCTACGCTCAGGGAGAAACAAACAGAACATCAACAAAGTCTAGGCATGCTACATTTGACAGACGAACAGCTGCTGTGGAGTCAATTCCGACTCACGGAGACCCCATATGCATCAGAGTAGAACTGTGCTCTATAGGGTTTGCAGTGGCTGATTTTTTGGAAGTAGATCATCAGGCTTTTCTTCTGAGGAACTTCTGGGTGCACTTGAACCTCCAACCTTTTAGTTAACAGCCAAGTGCTTTCATTGTTTGTACTGCCCAGGAACATCTTGATAGACTAGACCCAGCCATAAATGTATGTCATGATAATAATACTATTAATTACATTTTTAAAATGGCTGCCTCACCTTCTGCTGAGTCTGGCTGTGTCTTCCTGGAGTGCACAGTGACTGAGGCTGCTTGGGAAAGGTCAGGACCTGTCCTCCAGACACAAACCTCCAGGTAGCCAGCACTTTCAGGGACGTGATATTCAGCATCCCTGAAGTACAGGGTAGGCTCTAGGAAGGCAGGAAAGGACAAACTGAAAACACTTCAGCTCCCAGGCCTGCTGTCTTCTCTGGCTCTGTGTGAGCCTGGGTATTTGTCACATTGTCAATCTTGACAGATACCACAGGCCCCGTTGTTCTATAGCTTGAGGAGAGAAAAAAACACACAAAAAGCCATGTAAAAGAGTCACATGCCGTTACTTTGACTCCAGGAAGTGCAGTGAGATAAAATCAGATGAAATTCTATTCAATTTTCTGTTTTAAGAGATTCCTGTCACATAGATGAAATTTCCCTACTGGGGAAAATAGCTAAATTGCTGTTATCCAGGCAAGTCAACGATTGTTTGGGAAATAATAGTGGGGAATATAATGACACTTTTTCTTGGGAGCCACCACCTGCCTGTCAGTTTGTTGTACTTTGGTGGCTTGCATGTTGCTCTGATGCAGTAAGCTATGTACCTAGTATTTCAAATACAAGCATGGTCACCCATGGTGGACAGGCTTCAGTGAAGCTTCCAGACTAAGAGACTAGGAAGAAAGGTCTGGCAACCTACTTCTGAAAATTGTTGTTGTTAGTTGCCATTGAGTCGACTCTGACTCATGGTGACCATCTGTATACGAGAATGAAGTGTTGCCAGGTCCTGCACCGTCTTCATGATCTTTGGTATGTTTGAGTCCATTGTTGTGGCTATTGTGTCAATCTATCACATTAGGCTTTCCCCCAGTTTTGCTGACCCTTCGCTTTACCAAATATGATGTCTTTTTCCAGCGGATAGTCCTTTCCTGATGGTAAGTACAAAGTAAGCAAGCTGAAGTCTCGCATTCCTCACTTCTAAGGAGCACTTTGGTTGCATTTCTTCTAAGACTGATTTGTTCATTCCAGCAGTCCATGGTGTATTCAATATTCTTTGCTGATACTACAATTTAAATGCATCAATTCTTCTTCTGTCTTCTTTTTTTATTTTCCACCTTTTGCATGCATATGAGGCAATTGAAAAGACTAGCTTGGGTCAGGCACACCTTAGTCATCAAAGTGACACCTTGGCCTTTTAGAACTTTAAAGGGGTCTTGGAAACCTTAAGGATCAGAAGAGAATGTTGTCTGATATAGTGCTGGAAGATGAGCCTCCTAGGTTGGAAGGCACTACATAATAGCCACTACTATGAACTCAAACATAACAGCGATAATGAAGATGGTGCAGAATCAGGTAACATTTCATTCCATTATAACTAAGGTCACCATGAGGAGGAGCTGACTCCAGTACAACTAACAATAACAACAATTTTTTGGGAGAAAATTGCTCTTTATGGGGATTGCTGCTATGTGCCTTTTCTTATGACATTTACAAATCACAGAGATCGACAGAAATCCTGGGGCGGGAGGTGGAGATCCTGTTAGCTTAGATGCCAGAAATGCTACCTCCAGAGGCAGAAAAGCGGCTCCCTAGAAAGAGAGGGCTGAAGAAAGCCAGGGAAGTCATCAGGCTTTTGGGGCAGGAGGAAGGGATGTGCATATCTTCTAAAGGGAGGACAAGTTTGACTATGACAATGTTAATATTTGGCCAAGCAAATGTAAGTATCTGTATCTGCTTTGCTATGTTCTAAACAGTAGCTGATGAACTTAGCTGACAATTTAAAGCTTACACAAGGTTTAGCTGTTATACTAGAAATACTATCATAAAAAGGATTTTAAAATGAATGTATTTGTTTGGCCTGTGACATCTGGAGACAAAAAAAAAAAAGAAGAAGAAGAAGAAAATGTAAACACCAGGAAGCAACTTCACTAGCTTTACTACAGAGAAATTATCCCCTGAGATAGTAAAATGGAAAATCAAAATTGTAGACCCAACACCTTTGCAAATATATTTCAGTGAAGAAGTATATCTGAATTAAAATGAAGACGAGACAATGAAATGATGTTTTTTGGAGGGTAGAAATCAGCTTTAACAAATATTATTTGCTCAATGTATTTTAGTAGATCTCTTAACTGCTGAGAAGAGTTTTGCTAAACATTTTACTACGGCATCCAAGACTTCTCATATTCTGATTTGAGTCAATTTCTTTTAAAAATTGTACTTTAGATGAAGGTGTACAGAACAAACTAGCTTCTCATTAGACAGTTAATACACATGTTGTGTTTTGTGACATTTGTTATGATCTCCACTACATATCAGTACTCTCCCTTTTCGACCTTGGGTTCCCTGTTACCAGCTTTCGTGTCCCTTCCTGCCTTCTAGTCCTTGCCCCTGGGCTGGTGTGCTCCTTTAGTCTTGTTTTGTTTTATGGGCCTCTCTAATCTTTGGATAAGGGTGCACCTCAGGAGTGACTTCGTTACTGACTGAGCGAAAAGGTGTCCAGGGGCCATACCCTTGGGGTTTCTCCAGTCTCAGTCAGGCCAGTAAGTCTGGTCTTTTTTGTGAGTTAGAATTTTGTTCTACATGTTTCTCCATCTCTGTCTGGGACGCTCTATTGTGATCCCTGTCAGAGCAGTCAGTGTGGTAGCCAGGCATCATCTAGTTGTACTGGACTCAGTCTAGTGGAGGCCGTGGTAGTTGTGTTCCATTAGTCCTTTGAACTAATTCTTCCCTTGTGTCTTTAGTTTTCTTCATTCTTCCTTGCTGACCCGAGTCCATTTTTTCTAAATTATCCCCTACCCTACTCTGTACCCTGTGCTCCAAGTCCTAAGAGTAGAGGCCAGGGTATTGTGACTATTAGGGCAGGAATTTGGAAAAAGGACTCCAGGCACAAGAGTAGCTATAGATACACAGAATGTGTGATGGTGGATGGACTTTGGCTCTGAACTATGGGTTCAGAAACACTTCCTCTGAAGAGAAGAATATAATTCAGGGAGCTACCCTAGGACCCAGGTATTGGCCCTGACATCCAGGATGAGCTGGAGATTACACTGTGCCCTGGAGCAGTAGTATCTATGTGAAAAAAAAAAAAAAAAAATCCTTCCAACTAGTTCTAGTGGTCTTACTAGAAAGTCTGATAATGACCAGAAGAATAGAATCCATTTCCTTTAAAGATTCAGAATGGAAACTTAAATAAATTTGACATAACTAACAGTGCTAAAGGGGCACTGGTGGTTCAGTGGTGGAATTCTCGCCTCCTGTACTGGAGACCTGGGTTTGCTTCCCAGACGATGCACTTCATGCACAGTCACCTTCTGTCTGTCAGTGGAGGCCTGTGTGTTGCTATGATGCTGAACAGGTTACAGCGGAGCTTCCAGACTAAGATGGACTAGGAATAAAGGCCTGGAGGTCTTCTTTCAAAAATCAGCCAATGAAAATCCTATGGATCACCATGGGCCTATCCACAACCAATCATAGGGATGGTGCAGGACTGGGTAATATGCTAACAATGCCAACGATTAAACTGACCGCAGATGCACTTGTTACGGACTACCTGTGGTTAAATGTCTTATTTACTAAGTGCAGAAGAGTTTTTGATATCATGGAGGCTGAAAAAGACCACACACAGCCAACATCTCTGCCTGAGAACCACTTCTTATCAGTGCAATCATTGCTGTTACAAGCAAGGGTGGTCCCTGGTCACTTCATTCTGGGAATGTTCTAAATGAGGGGCAAAGTCTTTACTCCTAAGATGTTGGGTAAAAGCTTCTAAAATATTTTCTTTCTTCTACCTCAACTTTAAAAATAAGAACTGAAGTTAAGATTTTGCTTCTTTATTGACTTTTAAAGACTGTAGTAATTGTATCATAATATACTAGACCTATGAAGTATAGTGATACTATTTCTTCTGACTAGTTTTCTGGGTTTAACAGCTGAGCAATATATGTCTTTCACATTTTTAAAATATTTATCTGTTGAAGCCTATCTTGGCCCAGAGCACCGGTGCTAACTACTTTTTTTTTTTTTTTTTAGTTTGCATGAACTAATTTTACCACAATTTTTCCTTACCATATTTTTTGTTTGTTTTATATCTGTCATCATGCTGTTAGATGCCCATCTAATGACTAAGATACTAATCTAGCTGGGAATCTTTGTAGGCACTTTACATATATTTACAAATCCTCTTGCTCAGGACAAAACGAACAGCCTTCTGTGAAACTGGACACTCCTTTTTGTGGCAGGTTACAGAGTTTTCAGATCACTTATTAAAAACAGAAAGAAAATTCTTTGGTTTAAGATAATTAGGGGAACGCTATAAGGTATTTGTGTTTTCTCAGGACAGACACAGGAAACTCTGGTGGTGTAGTGGTTAAGAGTTAGGCTGTTAACCAAAAGATCGGCAGTTTGAATCCACCAGGTGCTCCTTGGAAACCCTATGGGGCAGTTCTACTCTGTGCTATAGGGTTGCTATGAGTCGGAATCAACTCAATGGTAATGGGTTTTGTTTTTTTTTTTGGTTTAGAAGAGACACATTTTGCTGATTAACAAGTGTTCCAAATTTCATCTCACCCTTGCTACAGGGCAAGTGGAAGTTAGTGTCTGAAGCCAGGTCAGTGAATATGAAGCCTGCCATTCATTCATCATTCAGCAAACATTTATTTTCTTTCTTTTACCTCAACTGTAAAAATAAGAACTGCAGTTAAGATTTTGCTACTTTACTGACTTTTAAAGACTGTAGCAATTGTATCATAATATACTAGACTTATAACTAGATAGTGGTACTATTTCTTCTGACCGGTTTTCTGCACTTAACAGCCGAGCAATATGTCTTTCATGTTTTAAAATATGTACAGGTAGTCCCCGACTTACGATTTATTTGTGTTATGATGAACCGCACTTAGGAGCATCTGTTTTTTGTACATCCTATCATTAGTAATATGTACTACATACAATGTTGTAGTGTGTAATTTGCTCATGTTATTATTCTCAGATGTTCACTCGCAGATGTTCAGTGTTACGATTTACAGTGAAAGGATTAGCTGAAGTTTTTTCTAAACTAAATCAGGGGCTTCAGTTGCTTGCAAACATGGACCCAAACGCTGATAGCTTTGCTAAAGTCGATAGGCAGTTTCGGGCAGCAGTGAGGTGTTACTATGAA